CTCCAACCTGGCCCTGGGGAGAATCTTCCCTCCCTGGGGGCAGCGAGTCTCGGCAGCTCCCGTGGAACCGGCCACCTTCCCCCCAATCACTGGTATTCCGCTGCTTGGGAGGTCCAAGAGGGATTCCTCAGTCCCTTCGGGAACCAAACAACGCAAGCACAGCGGCACTGGCAAGAAATCCGTGACCTGGAAGGCAACGGTGTCTGAACCTGCGGTGGCAGGAGAAGACAAGGACCCAAATAGAGACCCAGCCGCAAAGGGCCAAGTGAGTAGGCCATGCTCCTCCTCTCTCCCCCTTCCCCCTCCCACCGCCCCCCACCACAAAGTTCTTTACCTGTGCTCCTTCTGTCCATCCCTCAGGGGTGGTCATTGGGCTCCCCTGGGTCATTGGGTCATTAGGATGCCAGATCGGGGTTGTTCTACTAGGGACAAACACTAAGGTTTCCCTTGGGGTGTGGGGGTCACTGTTCTCCCCCCATGGCTGGTATCCGGCCTCCTCTCCCAGACAGAGGCTGGGATGGAAGGGTGAACTGGTAGCTGAAATTGGATCAGGGGACCCCTTAGAAGTTTGGGGAACAAAACTTCAGTGATTAGACTCATCAGCTTCCTGATTCCTATTTCCTAGCTGTTCCTTGCAGGGGGCCTGGGATTTCTTAGTGCCCCACTGTTGTCCCTGGCTCAACTCTGTCCGCTGGCCTGGGGCCGACTGAGGGAGAAAGTGCTGATGAGACCAGCCTGTCACATTCCACTCCAGTCCCCTGCCTTACCCCAGCCTCGAAACAGGTTCTCTCTCACCCACACACAAACATAGATACACATGCAACCAAGTAAACACACACACGCATCCTGAATCCAAACTGGTAAGAAATTTTGTTTCAGCTTCCAACACACAGGCGAGGGCGATCTTTTTCGCGCAGACATCGTGGGGAATCCAGCCGTGGCAACCTCAATACCAGAGCCTCCCAGGATCCAGGAAGCTTAGAGCCCCTGGCCCGGAACCAGGGAGATGACATGCCCAGAGGGCCTGCACCCCCAGGTGAGTCTCCTGGGTTTGATGGGGGTGGTGAGGGGACGAGGAGAGAAACCTCTTGCTGTCTCTGCTGGGGGCTCAGCCTTGCTCCCAGGCAGCTTCTCCCCAAGGAAACAGGGTGAGGACAGGGGTTGTCTTGGGCCACGTCATCCTCTGTGTGGGGTTTCTGGGGCAGGGGTGATGGTGGCAGTGCCCCAAACTGCAACTGTGGACATAGACTTGCGGAGGAACAGCCTACGCTGTTAAATCCTGTTCACCCACTTTGTTCCCCCAGCTGCTGGATGTGGCTGCAGCTTTTGAGGGGGTCGAACCCAGAGCCACAGTCTCTGGGGACCACAGTTGGGGAATGGCTGCGCCTGGGGAAGAGAGGAGGCAGGCTTAGACAGAAGGTTGGAGCCGCTGGGAGGAGCAGGGCTGGCTTGTTACCAGTAGGGGGTGGTGCTGCCTCACTTCACGTTAGACCCTGCAAGGCCCTGTCCACCTCACTGGGAGCCTGAGAAGCTGGATTGTGTGTCCTTTCCCTGTAGGTGACCAGGAACCACTCGACCAGCCCCCAAGACCAGAAAGGCAGCAGCAGGCACCAGGAGCACAGGGCTGTCCTCGGGTAATGCTTCCTCTGGTTCTTGGAAACAGGCCCAAACTACATGGGAGGATCTGTGTTTAGGTTAAACTGACTTCTGTGCGGCCTGCTTCCCCGCCCCCAACCCACAGCCTACGAAGGGAGCCCACGTCCTTTCCCCTGGGGAGCCTGAGCCAGTCTAGCCGCGGGGCTTTGGGATGTAGAGTCGGGAGGAGAGGGGAAGGTGGAGGAGAGAGGAGGCCAGAATATACTAATCATTTCTCTTTCCGGTGTCTCCTGACCTAGTGTCCCGTGCTACAGAGAAAAATAGACAGCCTCAAGGAGCAACTCGGTATGAGGAACCAGGGGCAGAGAGCGGTGTGTTAGTGCAGAACCCGGGTGGGCGCTTGGGGCTGCAGGTGCAGGCAGCCCCTCAGGGACGAACATGCCTGCGGGGAGGAGACCTAGCAGGCCTGGCCCTGGAGCCTGCTGCGTGTTCTGAATGGTCCTGACATGGCCCAGAGCCTGAGAGCTGCTTGCACACTTTGGTTCCCTTTAGGAAACATTTCCACATTTAGTTCAGGTGGTGGTGGAGTGAATCCGGCCCAGGGCTCTTTGCATCTGGGCAGGAGGGGGGTTTCGGGTTGCAGGGCTGGGCGGTTCGCCATGGGGACAGGGCTTGGGCTTCTATATCCCTATGCCTGGAGTGCCAGCTTATGCCTGTCCCTGTTTCAGCGGCCATGGAGAACCTGGCTTACAAGTTCCAGATCCTGTGAAGTGAGTGTTACACACACCGTACCCCTCCCCACAGTCCTGGCTGTTGAGCAGGGCTGAGGGCTGGCCCTGGCTTGAGGCTCTTCCCTGACTGTGCTGTCTCACAGGTTGAGCCCGGCATCTTCATGCAAGAGGAGCCGCTGATACCTCTGGGGCCCGGGAGCTGCGGCCAAGCTCGTTCCCTCCTGCTCTACCTCAGCCAGGGCCTCCTCCTCTCTCTTGTTTGCTCCCGCCCCACCCGTTTCACAGCAGTTTCCAATTAAAGTACCTCTCCCGGTCTGTGGTCTGTCCTCTCTCTGGGGAGGTAGGGGAGTGGGCAGGAGCTGGGCAGGAGCTGGGCAGGAGTGGGGCAGGAGCTGTTCCTTGTCAGAGCCTTTTCCAGAACAGTCCCTCTGGCATCCTGTGGTGGGCCTTCTCCCTGTGGGGAGTCCGGGGAGCCTCTGCTCCCATCCCTGCAGTCAGACCTGCAGAGTGCCTGGCTCTGGGTTTGGTGTGGGCTCTGCTTGTCCACACTGGCACATCCTCCATTTCCCCTGGAGGCCATCTTCCAGTTCCCTCCAAACCTCTCCTCCTTTGGGGTCCGGTGGTTCCCATTCGTCGCTGCCGTTCCCCCTCCCCATCACCAGGAACCCATGACCCCTTCCAGAGCTCCCATGCCCCTTTCCCTCAGTGGGATCACCATCCTGCTTCCCCCCCGTCCACCCTGCTTTGCTGTCAGAGCATCCTCGATCCCTCCCCTGGCTTGGCGTCGGTAGCCTTCCTGCACGTGCACTTCAGCAGGTGTTAACAGGCACAGTTGAGCTCATCTTCCCTCTTCTGAGACCCCATCCTGCCTGTGAGGTCCCTACCTCCCCCTGGTGCCACCATGCACAGGGACATCTCACCCAGGAACCTGCGAGTCGTCCTCCTGTCCTCCTTAGCTCTCACTTCTGATCCTGGGTTACCAGTCTTGTCATGTCTGTCTCCGCGGGTTCAGTAGAGGGATGGAGGCAGAAGTCACGGCCCCGGTGGATTTCAGAGCAAGAGGGAAGGTACAGGGAACACGGGAGAAAAGCACAGGGTCGTCTCTGGCTGGAGTTAGGGGAAAGGTGTCTGTTTGGTGCCAACCTGGGGGAGACTGCCCGCCAGCAGCTAGACGTGGATGGTCCAGCCCTTGGAGCTTTCACATCCTCCCTGCCCGGTCAGATGACTGCCCTCCTCCAGCCTGGTCGCCTCCCTACCCTTGGGTGGAAAGTGACCATTCACATTCTATGTCAGGTGGGGTTGGTAGGCCTCAGTGTTCTTTCCTGGTCCCAGTCAAGTAGTGTTCACCAGCCCCATGACACAGAGTTTCATGGAAATGATGTTTCCGTGTCCCAGCTCGATCTCCCAGACTGCCTTTTTAAGGCACAGGAGATAGAGTCTGAACTCCATATTCGACTTCCCCATCACTCTAGGTTGGAAATCACTTCTTTCCTTCAGCAAAGACCCAGGGCTTAGTGGGCCTGAGACTTAGAGGGACATATTGGTGTTTGAGAGAGGCAAGGTTAGTTACCTCTGACACCCTTCCTGAGATGGTGGTTGGGGATAATACACACAAGGGGTGATGATGGATGGTAGAACATTCAAGATTAGTGTCTGTGTGAATAAAATTAATCAGGAATAATCTCTCTTGTGGAAGAAAGATGTGACTCAGGGAGGAAAGGGAGTACAGACTGTGGTCCAGCCTCTGGAAATGCATTCAGTGAGCAAATGCAAGGTTCAGATCTCCTTTATTCAAGGAGTGTTGTTAAATTCCTTTAAAACAGGAAGGGGGTGATTCAGAAATCACCAAATCCCACGGGTGTCAGGATGCTCAAAATGTTGGAGTGGCTGGAGGAGGCTCTGGATCCTACTGTGTGATTCGAAAACATCTGACAACCACTGTGCGTCTGGATGGATTGAGAATGGGAAGGATGGCTCCTCAGAGTAGCTGGGACTCAGCTCATCTTAGAAGCAGGGGGACCCACGTAGGAGACGCCGAACATGAGGAACCAGGGAAACAGGCAGGATGGGCGCAGTGAGGATGGGAAGTAAGGGGTGACTGCACCTGGACAATGGGGTGCCCCTGGTTCCACCCTCCCCCATATTCTCACCCTGGCTCCCTTCCCACCCACGTGGCATGAGCTCAGGTAGACAGACCGTCACGTGTGGGATGGGACAGTCACAGGCTTGAGGGCTGGCAAAGAACGTTCGGGGGACTTAATCCTTCCACTTCCAACCCCTCCCAGGGGAAGGTCGTCTTGATTGCTGAGGTTACAGCTTTGACCCTGAACCTGACCCACTGGCTGGTTCTTGGCGGGGTGACCTAGTGCGCTGCTGTCTGAGTGACTAAGTTTGGCAGAGATTTCCAGCTGGGGTTTCTACCCACTGAGACATGAGGGCAAGTTGTGACTAGGGGGAAGTCCAGCATCAGCACCAGCCCTGCCCAGGGGATGGGGTACAGGGTGGTGTTTGCCAGGGTGAGGAAGTGGAGAAGCTTGTCAAAGGGGATATGGCATGGCCTGAATATAGCCCTTGGTGATTCATTTTTCCAGCCTCCCTTCCCCGCTCTGAGCACACAATCTCTCTGTTCCGTATTCAGACCAACTTCCACACAATATTGCTGCTGGGAACACGTACATCACAGGCAGTGGCTCAGGCCCGAGCCTTCCATTTCCAGAAGGAAATAATTGGCAGGTCCTGAGGCACAGGTCAAAGAAACACATCTGGGCCCCAGGATGGAGGTGGAGGTCAGAACCTCGCCCTCATTCAGTGCACCCCCTTTGCCTTTCCCCTCAAGGCTCCTCTCCAGCTAGGGAGGCAGTGGCGGTTGGCCCAGACGGTTCTAGGCCCCATTCTTCCTGATCCTGCTCCCTGTCCAACTCCTGGGCAAATGTCCCCTCTCCACCTCACCTCCACACCACCAGCAGCAGCCGCAGAACCCGCCACTGCTCTCTCTGGACTCTTGGGGGCCTGGCACATACAAGGAAGGCAGAATGAGTTGAGCTCTGCAGAGGGAGCTGGGTGGGGTGGGTGTGCAGAGTAATCGTGCCCAAAGGTGTGCAGGTCCTAATCCCCACAATGCAGTAATATATGACCCCTATGGGCAAAGGTGGTTAAGGTTGTAGGTGCAATAACTGTTACTACTCAGCTGACTTAAGGTGGGGATACTCTCACTTATTTTGGCCAGGCTCAGCCAGGCACAGTGGGACTGCCAAAGTCGCCATGTGGACTTTCTCTGCTTGATCCCAGGGTGCACCATTTGAGTGACTGTCGGGTGCTGTATGTCCCTTTGCTGTGCAATGTCAAAGTCCTGGTAAGTAACACTGAGATGTAGGTGGAGGACAGGCCACAATTTTGGACCCTCTTTTTCGTCCGCAATGACTTCCCCCACCCCTTGTCCTCTTGAGCTACCTACCCTCCTGACTTTTACAATAATCATCCACTTTCTTTTAAAGGATTTACAATTGCTATTTAATAAAATAACCCTTCCAAAGATATAAAAGATAAGTTACATTGAATTAAATATAAGTCAAACACACTATATACATATACACATTGTAGAGAACATAAGCCTTCAATCTGATAAATAATTTTATAGCGATCAATCCATGTGATTGTACCCAGATGACAGAAAGGTACATTGTACCTCCAGGAGTCCACATGTGTCCCTTTCTATGAAGGAATCCAAGTAGGTAAGTCTGCATACTGCATGATTCCATTTATTTTATATTCTTGAAAAGGCCAAACTATAGGGAGAGAAAACAGACTGGTGGTTGCCAGATTCTGGGGGTTGAGAGGAGTTAAACTACCAAAGACCATTATTTTTGTTTTGACTATAGTGATGGTTCTATAACAGAATGTATTTAAAGACTCGTAGGCCTTGTCAATAATCCTATATTTTCAAAAATTATAAAAAGTACATTATGAGTGGATACTTATATTTATTTTTTCTAAACATGAAAATCATATTTTTGTCCTATAATCTGCTAATGCAGAATGTTATATTACCTTATTTTCTGAAATTAAATCAAGTTTGTATTCCTGGGATGAATACAGTCATGGCATATTGTGCTTTTTCCTTTTTATATCCTGTTGGATTCTGTTTGCTAATGTTCTGTTTCTGATTCTTGCTTCTATGCTATGAGCCTATGATTGACCTGTGATTTTCCTTTTTTAAACTGTTCTTGACAGGATTTAGTATCAAGGTTATTCCATCCTCAGAGAATGAGTTGAGGAGTGTCCTACCTTTTCTATTTTTTCTAAGATTTTGTGACAAATTGAAAATATTTATGCCTAGGATGTTTGTCAGAATTCAGTGAGGAAGGCTGGAGGATTTTCTTTTGAAAAGTGTTTTGATTACTGGTATATTTCTTTATGATTATGGAATAATTCCGGTTGGCTATTCCTACTTGAGTCAGTTTTGCCAAGTTATGTTTTAGTGGAAATTGGTGACCTTTTTCTGTTTTCAAATTAATTGGAATAAAATGGTCCATAATATCCTCTGTTCTCCCAAATTTTATTTTTGAAAATATCTGTCCTACAGATATTTATACAAGAAAGTTGCAAGCAACACACTTTCATCCTTCACCTGGACTCACCCTTTGTAAACATTTTATAACTTTTGTCATATTTCCTCTCCTTTCAAACTGTATGTATGTGTATTTTACTTGCTTTGTTGAATCAGTTGAGTTATTTGAACACATTATAGTACATTGTCCCTAAATATTTCAACATGTTTCTCTTAGGAAAAATAAATATTTGCTACAAAATCTTAATGCAGTTATCACACAGAAAATTTAACATTCAGACAATACAATTGCCTACTGTATACCCTCATTTAAAATTCATGAATCTCCCCAAACTGTTATTTGTACCTACTTCTTTAAAAACTCCTGCTTCCAATCAAAGAACATGCATTCCATTCAGTTGTCATGTCTCTTTAGTGTCCATAGAAAACTAGAACAATTTCCCAGACTTTTTTGGCCTTGCATGACGTTGTCATTTTTGACAATCTAGTCCAGTTTTTTTTTCTAGTTCCATTTCTGTCACTTTTTAAATATAGTCAGTTTACAATGTTCTGTCAATTTCTGGTGTACAGCAAGCATACTGTTTCAGTCATACATGTATATATATATTTTTATTTTCATATTCTTTTTCATTATA